GAAGAGACTGGGAGGTCTTCCACGGTGAGCGCCTGGACTGGGTGGGCCGACCCGGCCGGCACCCAGTGGTGGTGCCAAACCACATCTCCATGATCGAGGTGGCCAGCCGGCACCGGGGGGGGGGGGGTGTCTGAAGGGATTTGCTAGTCCAGGGGCTCTTCTTGCCATTTGGATGGTTCAAACATTATGGGCTCCCTACATGATGTATGGACTTATAGCATCACCTTGTTCAACAAGGTTCATGTTTGTCCAGGTTGAGGGTTTGTCTCAAAATAGGGGACCTCCCAAACAGGATTTCGTTTTTCCTTTGCTTTCCCTTTAAACCACGCCCCAAAAGGCTACAACAACCACCATCCAAACCACACAATCATGGGTCGCTTCCACCTGAGGCCTTCAGCATGAATTGGCTCACCTGGGTCATGGCGGGCTGCGTGGCCAAGTCCCAGCTCTCCATCCCCGGCGTGGGCGCCGCCGCGGACTTCGTGAACGGCGCCGGGGCCCCGGACGGAGGGCCCGTGGTTTCGGCGGGTCTCGGGCACATCTTCAATAGGTCGAGGGGGGGAAAGAATCGGGTCAAGCCCCCCCCAAAAAAGGATCGTGTCCTTCAGGAAACCAGCCCGGATTTCCCACTGAAGCCGGGGGCACCCCCAAGTGAAATAAACTGGGGTTGATTTTTATCCGGGTCAACGTCACACACCACAAGGTTTTCTAACCGGGGTATGCCGCGTAAGTTTGAATCTTTGACTTTTGGGGGAAACACCTTCAGTATTCACCAGGTTGATTCATCCGGGGGCGCCAATGGAAAAGGAATTAGAAGTGAACTTTGGGATCACGTGTTGTTTTCCCTTTCTGTGGGGGAAGAGTTGATATATGGATTTGGGGGACCCCCCTTCCCCTTCAGGGGAGAGCCGAAGGCTTCAGGTGTTGCTTTGTTGTGGTGATGGGCCATGGGTCAAACCAGGAGAACGACGGTAGTGCATTACATTTAACCAGGGTTTCCAATTTGGATATGGCTGTGACTCTCAGCCTCTCTGGGACGAAACCGCTCGAGGTTGTGGTTGACACCAAAGACCCCAACGTCAAGGAGAAGGCACGGGGCCCAGAGCTTCCGACGAGTGTTCAAACAACTGTTTAGGGATGAATGTGGGCCCTTCAGCGGTCTCCGTACCCAGCATGCGAGTAAACGATCTCCAGATTCATAAAGCTGGGCGACAACGTCGTTTCTTTGCGAAGCGCAAGTAAACCGACCACAAGCCATAACAAATTACATGGCTATCTTTGTTTCCTGCTTGTTCCGGAATCAAAGGTAGCTCCCCAGCGGGTGAGAGTCAAGATGGGGCACTCGTTCCTGCAAGGGAAACCTCTATTGTCCTATTCAAGGTATGCTGCGCCCGGGCTTCAGAAGGATTGTGGCAAGCCTCAAACCTTTACCAAACCTAATAGGTTTTGGGCATGGCTCAGGTGAATGCGGGCATCTTGCAGTACGCAGCCTGGCTGGCAAGTCACACCCACCGTGTGTACTTCTTGGCGTGTCCAGTACTGGAAATCCTTTGCCCATGTTGAAGACCATCAGGGGGTCCATGTCTTTAGGATATCCAACCACTTGAGGCGGGCCGCTCTTTCTAAGTGCTTGGCTTCCATTGACAACGAAACAGCCGACTATGGCTTCAGCTCGTAGTTGGGAGGGTTTGACCAGCTGCACTGAAAAGTGCACTGAGTCAGGGTAGAAGCAGCAACCTTTGGAGTGCTTGGCTTCGCCAGAAAGCCCAGGTCAATAACCAGCCAGACGAGAAGGGCAAGCTCCCTCACTCGAAAGCCTTTGTCATTTACCCCGAGGGTGTCACCAACTCCCAGCGGGGGTTATTTCGCCCCCCGGCACAGCACTGACAGAAGAATCGTTCTTTCGTGTGTGTGTGAAGTACAATAAATTGTGCAGGCAGTGCCTGTCAGCGTGAAAATGCTGCCTTATTATGGGGCATGTTTGGATCGCCTGGGTTGCCTTTCGGCGACAGGGGCGAGCCATGAAATGTTTGAGATTGTTGGAGCTTGAGTTGATCAGACCTGCACGCAGTGCACTGACAGTATGGATAGTTCGAATGCAATGTGAGAGCCAAGTGTACGAATGTAGGTGATGTTTGTTCATTTGTTCATGCTGAGTGAGCTCGGTGCAAAGTCATTCGTATCTATACTGCATTATTTGGTCTTTGTTGTTTTCATCGTGTCTTGTTTATGTTCATGTTACAATACTATATCATAGATCGATCGATACTCAACCCATCTAATCTATATCTATCTATCTATCTATCTATCTATCTATCTATCTATCTATCTATCTATCTATCTATCTATCTATCTATCTATCTATCTATCTATCTATCTATCTATCTATCTATCTATCTATCTATCTATCTATCTATCTATCTATCTATCTATCTATCTATCTATCTATCTATCTATCTATCTATCTATCTATCTATCTATCTATCTAATCTATCTATCT